CAGCGTGCTCTGTCGTACAGCGAGCACTGACAAACAGAAACCTGGAAATCGTGGAAATCTCAAAACGAGGCTCTGCCGCTAGAAAGGTTTGGCGATCTGGTACGGGCTTGATATTATATCAATCACATTGTGCATTACAGAACTACACTGAATAAGCGCAAAAAAACACATAACAGGTGTAACCAGTGAGCCAGATGTGAATCATTTTACGACCTCATCAAACTGGGGCTGTCTGTGAGGTCTTAGTTAAGGTCATGCTGCCTACTCCTCGCCATAAAATATAGAAATACGATGTTATTAAAGTTTAAAATTAAAATTCATTTGTAAATACCATTTTTTTATCAAACAAGGAATTGGAATTCGGTGTAACCATAGTTTGTGATGTCTATTTTCACTTTCACACTAGAAAATTTGGATCGGCTGAAAAGTAGGTCATTGTCTGTTTGTAGAACATAATCATGGGGGATCTGGGATTTGAAACCACGATGGTGGTTTCTGGGACGCCGATTGGCCCCCTTGTGCACAGTAACGTCGTCGACGAATTGGCCACTACTTAGAATATTTCACACAATGCCGTGAGTTTATGAGCAAATACTTATTTGGAAAATATTCAGTATTCTTCATTTTTATTTTGTCAACATAGATGTCATTTATCTTAATAGATATTTTACACCTTATTAGTTATACTTATTTAATAAGTCCGTTTAATTTATGCGATCTTAATATTCTTCCCACCGATCAGTACAATGACATCACGCACAATTATAGGGAGGGCCTTACAGGCAGCTGATTGGAGAAGTAACGAGTACTACCGAAGCCACCTGATGAACCTGGCTTAGGCTGTGGCGGCCATTAAGGCAAAAGGAAAGCTTCATACACCTTGTGTTTCAACCGTAATCCTAAATGGAATGGCTGAGATGAATATTGGAAATTACGACGCGAACAAACAGAAACACTTCATGAACCTGCCACATCTGTTGGGATTAAAGATTGCCATCAAATGCAAACTTGGAATATTAATACATCATAGGTCAAACGTAAAGACGCTCTCTCGCACCCTCTTCCGGGTTCATTATACAGATAATATATTTTACATGAGACTCTATGGTATGGTCACAGTTTTGTTGGGGATGCCTGTGTGTTGGTTTGTAAGATGCGAAACAAGATGAAATGGATGATATTTTGCTGGTTATCGTACAGTGATGAATGAATGTTTGTACATTATTTTTATAAAAGGTTTTCCGTTGTTGGATACAACGGCCGTCACTCGTGTTGGTTGATGAAACGTAATTAATCGTGCATTTAGCATAACTTTGTTTAGAATGGGACCATATATGGCTTTAAAAAGTATTCATAGCTGAATCTGAGTTTGGGTAAACACCCTGTGCAAGTAAGCTCATTATGGACTTATATGAAGGAGAAATAGCCACCCTGCGGAATATCAACTACCGTGGTGATTGGGGAGACGCCATCGGTGTTTGAAATATTCCAGTTATATTTTGACTGCCTGAATGTCATACCCAGAAAAACTGAGTGACGTCTGCGTGCGATGAGGCGCCATCAACAAAGACGTAGAGCCTGATTCTCTGAGTGAGCTCTTACGACAAGCACGGGTTGATAGGAACCTGGTATCACCACTTTGGAAGTATCCTGGAGTCCCCTGTCATCCGGTAAGCAAAGGGCACCCGGAAATGTAATGCGGTAATGTCCGAGATGTCTCAGTGACTTATCAACTTGTGTTCACATTCCGTTGTGTATCCCTGTAGCGTCTCTCTGCATAAAGTAAAAACAGCCACCATTCTCACCCCTTCTGATCTCCAGCAGCCTATATTAACCAATAACAAATAAAATCACCTTCTTCAACAGCTAATATTCACCAATAACAATTATCATCACCTCCCTCAGCAGCTTATATTCACTAGTAACAATTATCATCACCTTCAGCAGCCTATATTCACAATAACAATTATCATCGCCTCCTTCAGCAGTCTATATTCACCAATAACAATTAACATCACCTCCTTCAGCAGACTATATTCATCAATGATAATTATCATCACCTCCTTCAGCAGACTATATTCCCCAATAAGAATTATCTTCACCTCCTTCAAAAGCTTATATTCACCAATATCAATTACCATCACCTCCTTCAGCAGCATATATTCACCAATAACAATTATCATCACCTCCTTCAAAAGCCTATATTCCCCAATAACAATTATCATCACCTCCTTCCAAAGCTTATGTTCACCAATAACAATTATCATCACCTCCTTCAAAAGATTATATTCACCAATAACAAATATCATCACCTCCTTCAGCAGCTTATATTCACCAAGAACGCTTATCATCACCTCCCTAAGCAGCCGATATTCACCAATAACAAGTATCATCCCCTCCTTCAGTAGACTATATTCAGCAATAATTATTACCATCACCTCCTTCAGCAGAATATATTCCCCTCCTTCATAGCTCTACCATGCTATATTCGATCCTTTCAGCTGTACAGCAGCCTGCATTCATCTTGTCCCTCTGTTCTAACAGTATTTATTCGTTTGCTTTCGATTTGAAGCCTGCTTTCATTCCCCTATCAGCTCTACCGTTTGGAATTGACACTTGCGGTTTCCTTAAAGCTCGAAAGTTCCTTCATAGAATTATTTCGGGCATCTTTTGTGATTTGTAGGATCTGTTTAGAAAACCTGTAGCATTGCAGGGAAACTTATTGAAATGAAAAGGCACACATATGTTAAACCCAGACCGCACATTTGATTTGATACAACTCAGGTATCAAGACGTTTGAATGGATATAGGAATAAGAACTTGTCATTAACTCCATGTTTGTGCAGTAATATGGAAATACGGCGGTTTCTAAAGTGAACTACCTTTGAGACATTATGGTGGTGTTGAACAGATCAGTACTAGTGTGAGTCACAGACACGTGTTGGGAGCGATCAGCTCCAATGATTCCCAATCTCGCTGACTGAGAGACCTCACACTTAAAGACTTGTAAACAGTCTCCCAGTGCAGGATGTACATACCGAATGTACTTAGATCTATTGAATCCTAATTTGAAATAAGTTTTAGTTCTATCTGTTGCACTGAAGGCATGTTTATGTTCAGGATCGAGGTTGATACTATATTAGTGCTGGTTTATGAAACTGGGAACTGGTTGTCTGGTGATGGCATTTTTACAGCTAGTCAGAGCTTTCATTCATGCATGCTCTTCATGATATGTTGACACTGCAAAACTGTTCACAATGTTGATATTGATCTAGTAAACACTGCTAAACACTCCTACAATTAAGCACTTCAGTGCTGGGATTCGCTCAGTACAAAGGCTGGTAAGTTCATTGAAGACTATAAGTGTATTAAGCATTCAATAAAGAAGCTTCACGGCGATTTATTAAGTGCAAGTCTTCTATTCTTGGTCAAACATTCCTTTGAAAGATGTCTATTTTTGGGGGTATGTTTTTCCTCGAGGAGTGGAAATAGTGCTCCAAACGCGATGCAATCAGGTCTTGTTTTCTCCCATTTCTTGTAGTTCGTCAGTGCACTGTTGAAGTAATTATGTTCGTAGACTAAATTGTACTCCAAGCTATGACTAACTACAACGTGATTGCGAGTCACGTCTTTGTACGTATACTGTCCCAGCCCGCTGACTTGTAATGGGTATGTAGTAAGCCGACCTTATCCTTACACCTGGTATTTGGGTGTACGGCCACCACTGACTTGAAATGGGGCATGGTAGAGTGTGGAGGTAAAGTAAGTGAGTGCGTTTTACGCCGCTTTTAGCAATATTCCAGCAATATCATTGCAGGGGACACCAGAAATGGGCTTCACACATTGTACCCATGTAGGGGAATAGAACCGGGATCTCCGGCCTGAAGCGCGAACGCTTTAACCACTAGGCTACTCCACCGCCCCGTAGAGGTCCTACCCTGGTATCATGGTAAATATTAGGTAACATGTTGCTTGTTGCGGGTGGTGGCGTTGCATAGATGCACAACAATTGATACTGAATCTCGGATTCGAACCTACGATGATCCTGGCACACCTAAGATACACTAGTACTACTCTGCATGGCGGGTTTCTACACCTTAGACAACTCGATTACCCGAGACCATCGATAGTGCCTAGGTTTGATTTACTGTATGCTGTCTTAAATCATAACTTATATTTAGATCATTTATCGGATTCAAGACACGCCTTGTCTACACTGAATACACTCTGTGACACACTGACATACAAGGATCATCCTGCATAAACCTAGGTGGATGAATAGAGAGCAGATGGTTAGATATATGCAGCGATATGAATAACAGTGTGTGTAAATATTTGTTTTAAACATAATTTCAACATGACCAGACAATCAAATGTATCCTGTATTGTTTTCTTAACCTGGTTTCAGTGTCGTGTTCAGGCAATGGATTACTATATTTATGCCAGCTGTTAATCTCTGCTCATTACAGATGAATCTTTTTAGGGAATATTTCTGACTTTACTAAACCTAAAAATGTTAAACCTCGAAGGTATACCTCATCGTGAACTCTGATGTGTAGTACGAGAAAGGTGTGCGCACTAATCATAAAATTAAAAAGGTTAGTCGCTATATTCATGTTAAAATCATAATAAACTATCACTGACATCTTCTGACACCTATTGACATCTGTAAATGAAATGTACGTGTCGCCCCACCACAAACGTTTATTTAATGTAAACACGCCACGCTCGACCCGTCCCCAGACATGTTACCATTGAAGTCACACATTTAGCAAATAGGAATTTAAGTAGCGGCTATTTAGCAAAATAACACATGAATAGTTAGCGATGGTCATGTGACAGTTGGAAGCCATCTTTGAAAAGAAATCGCTTAAGCTTTTGTATACAAACAAAGTCTATAAATAACACGTTCAGCATTGATATTGAAATGATGACTGGGTGCTGATCTTTGTGACTGCCATGATGTAGATTTAAGTAGCGTTTGTTGAAGGCTTACTTACCCATGTTCCAGATGTTTGTGAAGCCATGATCTATCTCCTTGTCATCCCTGGGTTTCACTCTGTAGATAAAGTCGGTATCTGTTAAAACAACCTGATGTTGGAGACCATCTTTCTGAAGCTCACAGTGCAGCATGCTGCTCGTCTTACACAATATGGCTTGTGAACCTGTTTGAATCCTTGACCTGTTCTTGGTATTTAATCAGGCGAAAAAAATCGCCTATTCAACCATAAGTATACTTTGGCTCTTCAAGCATGAACTCGGTCGTGAAATGCTGGTGTCGCTTGTAGTAAACGGCAAACACGTTAAAGACGGTTTAGGTAAAAGAGATATTTGGTTCAAGTTGAGTTACTCTGGATAATACATCGCTGTGTCAGTCTCAGTTTAAATTCGGTCCCTTAAAACGTAATTACCCATAGAAGAGCGGAAACACAATGGAACGTCAAAGCCTCTTTCTTCCTCGCCATAGACAAGGCTTGGGATCACCGATATATTTTGCGAGGGTGATATGGTTGACTTGCGCCTGTTTGCTCTGACTTCTTATCGGAAGATATCACTGTCCAGGGTTGGACGTTCATCCATGTACAGTGAAATATGTAATTACTGGCATTCTGGATTGAAATATGCTTGTTGCAGTCATCTCTGATTCAGATGTCGTCTGCCGGAATGTCGTCTGCTTGCGAAGACGTAACCGCAAGAAGCTCGTGCTGCATGCTTTTGTTGCTAATTTCACTCACACCCACCAGATTCCATAGGTTCAGATGACACGCCTTGCTCCATCACCAAGAATGTCACATGTCTCTCCCATACAATATAAGGGGTGGATTCACCCCGGGCAACTCGACAGTGGTCGCGGACCTAGGTTATTACCGGGTGTCTGAGATGTGTCAGGATGGTGATCTGTGATCCTTTTCACTTAAAAAAATGTATCGGTTCTATTGTACGTCCGAGGTGCAGCTGCAGAGTCGAAGAGTCCCCCCCGGCAAATATTTCGCGAACACACTGTGATAACCTTCTGAGGAGCAGGGGTGTTTTTACACATAGGTACGACATCCTCCAAAGCACGAAAGAGTCGACAAAACAATAAATCTGTGTGGTATAAACCTAGCTGTGGTTATAAAATTACTTTATGACTTGAAATCCAATTTCTACACAGCCTTTGACAGTAGATGCAATTATTCTTGTTAGAACAAGACCGCACCTACATTGTAAATGTGCTAATGGACATAACAGGCCTACATTTACAAAAGAATTTTCATAGCGAAAATATGTTTGAAATACGTAAGACAAATGTAGGTTGGCAATATCGTATTTTAATCAGACGTCAGGATAAAGTATTAACACAAACAGATCGTGACTCAGCAAATATATGTATTGACTGAAAGCATAAAATATTAATGAAAGCAATAATCTTCTGTACGGGTGACCTTAATTCGAAAACGTTAAAGATTTGTAATGATTTTCTTTGAGAGTCATCATGAAGACCTTCACGGGCGCCCAATTCCCTGTGTCTGTTGATAGTTTACATATGTATGTGTGTAAATACACCAAATGCACCTCAGATCGGACAATTCTCCGTCCACGCCAAGTAAGCGCTTTGTAAGCCCAAATAATCCCACTATTACCTCCAGCCCTGTATACAGTGTATTTACATACGGGAGTCTCCGATCTCATTGTCAAGTAATATCAGAGGATAGGGCATCTACTTCACATATACAGTTTACCCATCAATTCCACAAGCACCCTTCGTAACGTACTGCCCTATTTCACAAGCAGGGTCTCTCGGTACATTTCTCCCCTTTGTTAGCATGCGATTTACCATAAACGCAGTCAAGGATCGCGGCTCTTACGGCAATAAAATAACAATTTGTTTATCAATATTCATTGAATCCTGTCGTCTTATGGGGCTCATTTTCTGGCCTGTGTTGTTCCATTGTCCCTGTATTATGCAAGGGAGAAGGTAGCAAAGCGTGGATGACTGGCCCTTTGGGAGCCTATGGTTTGTTGGTATAATTTGACTAGTGTTCTCACACCGTGTACATAGATGTTTCTGCTGAATGATCTCAGCTAATGATATATTTAAAGGATAAACACATGTGACAAAGCTTCGTTGTTGGTGAAGAAACATTAGCTTGATATTGAATACTGGGTTCCTCTTTCATCGGTTTTGTATATTGTTGCCGGGTGTTGGTGAAGAGTTGTACTATTAACACGGGGAACATGAACAAAGTTTTATAACTATTTTTCGCGTTATTGGAAATTTTAAATATTACAGACTAACTGACAATGTTCCGCTATCTTATACTTCCCATGGGTCACAAGTGATGACCAGCATCGGACATAATCCAAGACCAGTTTCTCGTATTGCGCTTGTCAGATAGGGTTAAGCTAACAGCTAAACATTAATCTGTATTTTCGACGTATACCACTCGCATCTGGTCAGCTATTATACATATTTATCATCAATGATATAATTCTGTCGAAATAGCGCCTCTGAACTTTACAATAACAGCTCTATCGTCAGTTTAACCAGTAAATGCGATTATCTGTAGTAGCTAGATAGGTATATAATACGGACGTCAGATAGTCACAAATCAATCTGTGTCTATCTTATAAACACACAGTATATATATTCTAGTAAGAAACTCTACTATCTTCTATTTTGTTAAATCTTTTATAGCTTAACTTTAATCTATTGTATCTAACTACATGTGTATGCTGACCCGTGAAAGTCCGGGTTAGAATTGATCTTCAGTAACCCATGCTTGTCGTAAGAGACGACTAACGGGATCGGGTGGTCAGGCTCGCTGACTTGGTTGGCACATGTCACTCACTCACTACTGATCATATAGTTAACTTCAATTCTGCTATGAATATGTATTATGACTACGTATACTGTATATATCGTGTGAATGCCCACTGTGTAACCTGTCATACGGACCGGGTCACCCTGAAACAAATGTACCCAATGCAGCCCTTGCAAGTCTAATATGTGTGGCAAATCTAGATGACCACAGTTGCAGTTTCTGAAAATGAACAAAGACTCTGGGCGCCTTTTTATTGTATTTTATTGTATGTAAAATGCTTCTGTTGTGATGTATTAGTTAGAGTGAGTCAGACATATAATATTCAATCATGTATTAAATGTTGTCTTACGTTTATTACGTTGGCACTAACAGACTAATGTACATTGTCTTAAGTTGGAACTAAAAGACTAATGTATGTTGTCTTACGTTGGAACTAACAGACTAATGTATGTTGTCTTACTACGTTGAACTAACAGAACTAATGACGTTGGAACTAACAGACTAATGTATGTCTTACGTTTGAACTTACTTACGTTGATTACGTTGGAACTAAAAGACTAATGTATGTTGTCTTACGTTGGAACTAAAAGACTAATGTATGTTGTCTTACGTTGGAACTAACAGACTAATGTATGTTGTCTTACGTTGGAACTAAAGACTAATGTATGTTGTCTTACGTTGGAACTAAAAGACGTATCTATCTTGTCTTACGTTGGAACTAAAAGACTAATGTATGTTGTCTTACGTTGGAACTAAAAGACTAATGTATGTTGTCTTACGTTTGAACTAAAAGACTAATGTATGTTGTCTTACGTTTGAACTAAAAGACTAATGTATGTTGTCTTACGTTTGAACTAAAAGACTAATGTATGTTGTCTTACGTTGGTTACGTTGGAATTAACAGACTAATGTACGTTGTCTTACGTTGGAACTAAAAGACTAATGTATGTTGTCTTACGTTGGAACTAACAGACTAATGTATGTTGTCTTACGTTGGTTACGTTGGAACTAACAGACTAATGTATGTTGTCTTACGTTGGAACTAAAAGACTAATGTATGTTGTCTTACGTTGGAACTAAAGACTAATGACTTACGTTGGAACTAATGTATGTTGTCTTACGTTGTCTTTACGTTTGTTGTATGTTGTCTTACGTTGGAACTAACAGACTAATGTATGTTGTCTTACGTTGGAACTAACAGACTAATGTATGTTGTCTTACGTTGGAACTAAAAGACTAATGTATGTTGTCTTACGTTGGAACTAAAAGACTAATGTATGTTGTCTTACGTTGGTTACGTTGGAACTAACAGACTAATGTATGTTGTCTTATGTTCGAACTAACAGACTAATGTATGTTGTCTTACGTTGGAACTAAAAGACTAATGTATGTTGTCTTACGTTGGTTACGTTGGAACTAACAAACTAATGTATCTTGTCTTACGTTGGAACTAACTAATGTATGTTGTCTTATGTTCGAACTAACAGACTAATGTATGTTGTCTTACGTTGGTTACGTTGGAACTATGTATGTTGTCTTACGTTGTCTGTCTTACGTTCGAATAAAAGTACTAATGTATGTTGTCTTACGTTGGTTACGTTGGAACTAACAGATTAATGTATTGTTGTCTTAAAGACTATATTGTCTTACGTTTGAACTAAAAGACTAATGTATGTTGTCTTACGTTGGTTACGTTGGAACTAACAAACAAATGTATGTTGTCTTACGTTGGAACTAAAAGACTAATGTATGTTGTCTTACGTTGGAACTAACAGACTAATGTATGTTGTCTTACGTTGGTTACGTTGGAACTAACAGACTAATGTATGTTGTCTTACGTTGGAACTAAAAAACTAATGTATGTTGTCTTACGTTTGAACTAACAGACTAATGTATGTTGTCTTACGTTTGAACTAAAAGACTAATGTATGTTGTCTTACGTTGGTTACGTTGGAACTAAAAGACTAATGCATGTTGTCTTACGTTGGTTACGTTGGAACTAACAGACTAATGTGTGTTGTCTTACGTTGGTTACGTTGGAACTAACAGACTAATGTATGTTGTCTTATGTTGGAACAAAAGACTAATGTATGTTGTCTTACGTTGGTTACTTTGGAACTAACAGACTAATGTATGTTGTCTTACGTTGGAACTAAAAGACTAATGTATGTTGTCTTACGTTGGTTACGTTGGAACTAAAAGACTAATGTACCTTGTGTAATCCTTTCATACCGTTGATATTCCTGATAACTATGTACTTCTATAAATGTAACATGCTATATAACCTGATTGTGTATATTCCCTTGTAGCCTTATTATGTATGAGCATTCAGTAGTTATCTAATAAACTCACGTCCTTCACTCAGGTGCTGTGTGGCTTGGTGGTACACATAGGTACCTCCGTCAAGCGAGCTGTTTCCCATGCTCGCGTTTTTAATAAGGAATTTTGAGACCGCACTTAAACAATCTGTAAATTATCGAGTCTGGACCAGACCAGTGACGTCACACGATGTCGGGTAAAATCAAGCCTGGCTATTAGTCGTTTCCTATGACAAGCGTGGATTACTATTCTAACCTGAAATCTCTATTTATAATCAAGGATGTTTTTCTTCAGTAAGGAGGTATCAATATTCTGACTGAAGTATCAGTGACAATCAATGGTGTTTGTTTGTGAATAAGGGTGGGGTGGGTGGAGATGTTATATTTTAATATAAGAGCAACAAAAACCTTTCCACAGGGATAAGCTATCTCTTCTTACAGTTCGATCCCAAGACCATGATACGTGTGTGTTAATCATTATCGCCTGGCAGAGTCAAAGCAAAAGTAAGTATGGTTTTACGCCGCTTTTAGCAATATTCTAGCAACATCACGGCGGAGGACACCAGAGATGGGCTTCACGCATTGTACCCATGTGGGGAATCGAACCCG